GAAAGGAACAAAAAGGCAGAGGAAGGGTGACGTCACCCTCTCTTCCTGAGTGGGACATGCATACTCCTGTCCTCAGACATCGGAGCTCTGATTCTTAGCCTTTGAACTCATCCTGAGTTCACTAACACTAAGCTCTAGCCACAGTCAATGGTAGACAGAGCTGTGACCTTCTGCACGATCCAGAAGGTGGCCCAGCTCTGCACCCCTCTCCCCTGCTTCTTGCCCAGTGCAGCCATTGACACTGGGTGGGACGGCTAAGGTCTTCTTTTCTTCTTCCCTTCCATCTGATTGGCCATGGACTAAATTAACCGTTCTGAGACCTCATTTAATGAAGCAAATTAATTTGGAAAACAGCTCTCCTGCCTCCCTGGTCACACTGGTGGGCATCTGCAATGGACCGCTAATGTCTCCATTAGCTGCCTTATGGTAATTGCTAAGAGCTGGGCTTTGGAGCTGCAGGGTCTACTGAGACTCCTAACAGCCTGGCCAGGGGACTGTTAGAGCCAGCGTGTCCTCACTGCTCCCTCCTATTTAGCTCTGTGGGGTACTGAGTCCCACCTGTTTGTCTCACTTCTGGGAGGGGTGGGGATCCCTGGCCCCAGTGCCTACCTAGCTGTGTAATTCACCCTCCTGTGGTCCCTGGCCGTCCCATCTCCCTTCCAAATCCTCCTTCAGTCTCACCAGTGGTTCAATCACCACCTCTTCCAGGAAGCCTTCCAGAACCACCCCCCATGATGGCTCCTTTCCTAAGCCACCTCTGAATTAGCACGAGACGCTCCACAGGCAAGCACCACATTCTGGCTGATTGTGGAATAAGTGTGCCATTGTACAAGTTCCACCTCTGGTCCTTGAGGGCAGGGACCACACCTTGTACTCTGATGCTCTTGGGAACACTGCACCTAACACCGAGGACAGCCCCATCAATCCAAGTTGGTGAGTTCAATAGCAGTTCACTGTGGGGCTGGCTGTGATGGCGCCCACATCCCCTTCAGGAAGAAAGTATGCCTGCCCTGCGACCCTCTACAGAAACTGCACTGGGTGAAGACAGCTGCTCAGCCTGAGGTCACACCTCCTTTCCCCCTGGCAGTCTCCATCTGATGACCAAGGGACACAAGGTGTAAAGGCCTGCCCTGTCACTTCATCTTGGGTCAACTCTAAAGACTTCCCAACTTGAGAACTCCCAGGAAGTCCTCAATGCAGGTCAACTTCTGCCCAATCCTGCACCCCTCCCCTCCCCCTTTCTTTTCCACAGATGGATTCCAAGGCATTCCTTAAAAAGCTAATCTCCATCCTGGAATCTGTTTCCCAGGGAACCCAGACCATGGCATCTCCTTAGTCTGTTTAGCTCTTAAAATGGAGCTGGGGGTGGGTCTTAGGGGAGGGGCTGAGAAAATCCTCTGTCCCCTCCCCAGAGGACACCACTCAAGGTCAACAGAGGCCATGGGCCTAGACTTCAGCCTTCTAGTGAATGTGCTCCTCTGCTCTGCACTCTGCGGGCGGAGAGCTTTGGGAGGAGGCAGATGAACCTCGGTACACTCTCTTCCAAGTAGCGGTCTCCACCTCTTTGGAGGACAGAGCACCTGAAGCCCTGCTGCTCTCTGGGGAATGCACTGAGAACTCATTTATCGGGTCTAGATGATAAAATGCAGGACTCGGCCTGAAATCTGCTGTCTTTTACAAGCTTCCCAAAATAAACAAGTTGTTATCCGTTGTCCAAATTCAAGAACATTTTTAAGGAGAAAACCTTTGAACTGTCCAAGACCTTAATTTTTTTTCCCCCTGCAAAATGGGTGTGGGGTGGGGAGACATCCACAACTCAATTTTTATCACAGAGCCCCCTGAAGCAGCCTGTGGAAATGGGGAGCAGAATCTGGGGATAGCTGCTGTGGAGGGGCTCTCCTGGCCTGCCAGCGGGGCTTGGGGAGGTCAGGACTGTGGAGACAGAGCTTTCAAAGTTGGTCCAGGAGAAGGCACACAACTGACCTGGTGCCCTGACCCTGGAAGGGGTACAAGGCAAGGCTTCCTGGGTTCACAAGCAAACCTGGCCCCCTCTGGGTGGTGGGTGAGCAGCATCCCTTATGCATACTGCCTGGCAAGGCTTGCTGGCCACCTGGACCTCCCTCTGACCTGAGAGTGGGCTGACCATTCCAAGGCGCTTTACAAGATCAAGCTCCTTCAAGTCTCCCAACTAGTGGATGCACTTTATGGAAGAGGCAATCGCGCTTTCTAGATATGAAGCAATTTGCCAATATCCCAGAGCTGGTGAGCAAAGCGGGTGGGATTCACATCCAGCTTCTAATTCTGGGGCGTGAGCCACCAGTGTGACATTATGCAGCTTTCTAACAGCCTCTGATTGAGACAAGTGGGAAATTAAGGCAGTCAGGGTGCACAGAAACACCCCAAGAGCCAGCTGGGACTGGGACATGGTGCAGACTTCCTTGAAGATGGTTTTTGGGGCATCACACAATCCTATCTGCAGCTATGTGCCCATGCTACACAGAGCCTTCAGCTCTCAGATCCAGACTCAAGTCACTTTGCAGGAAGCCAAGGCCACGGGCTCTTGTAGGCAAACCAAGGAGAGCCAGAGATGGCTACCTCCCTCCATGAACCAGGGGTGAGATCACAGGCATGATACAGATGCTGGCTGTGTCCCTCTGACAACAAACCTGATGTTGATCACCTCCTCCCCCTTTGCTGTGTGGTATTCTCATGGAATGCAAGCCCTTCTCGTTGTGGTTTAAGCCCCAAAGTAGGCTGACCTGCTGGACAGAAGTGCTAACCATCAAGGTCAAACATAAAGGTTCAGCGCTTAGCAAGGCCACTCAGGAGGATAATCGACCAGGAGGGTTGGGATTGGCCTGATAAGGATTCAGGGCCCCCCTGCTTTTAGACAATGAGATCCTTAAACCCCATGGCTACCTGTCCCTCTCCTGGAAGTCCCCATCTCCTGGGGACTCCAGGATGACTCAGGCGGTGGTGATGGGCTGTACTGTGCTCCAGCACGGGAAGGAGGGTGGGGCGCCCTGACCAGCTTTGACTCAGTGAGCATCTGCTACCCTGAATTGCAGTCTGACCCCGATGGTGGAGACGTTCGATCCTTGAGTCTGTCATTGGTCCACCCGAAAACTCTCTCCTTTTGTCTCAGCCGACTTCCTCTAGTTTGGGTCCCGGGGAGCAACAAGGCAGCCACCCTTTCCCCTCCGTGTAAATCTTTCATGAGTTTCGCAGTGTGGATGTTCTTTCCTCTTCCCTGGCCCCAGCCTTCCAGCTCTCCTCCAGGACATACTTTCCATCCCTTTAATCATCTTTATTGCCTTGCTCTGGATGCTGGCCCAGCCCACATCCTCTGCGAGGTGAGCTGACCTACCCCGGGCATTGGCTACTATGAGTGCAGCTCAGCTCCCCAGTCCTGGGGTGTCGTGCATGTTGCTCTTCCTACATTCCTGGGTCATGCTGCTGCTTTCCGGAGGCCTGCCCTGGTCCAGGGGACTCCTGTGGAACAAGGTGACCTGGCCCAGAAAGGGACATGTGGGCTGACCTGGATGCCACTGCCTGGGCCAGAAGAAGCCGTTTAATTCGGAAGCTTGGGGACTCTCCATGCCTTTGAGACACACATTCTGTTCCCCCTGGCATGCTTAGGCCCTTGGGAACCCCATTCTTCCTTTAGGGGTACTCTCTGTTTTTTAACTCTGCTGGGAACCCAGAAGCCAGGACGTGGCCTGTGCGGCTCTGCCCAGCAGAGGCAGCTCACACAATGCAATTAGCTGTACTCTGGCCGCAGCAGGGGCCGGGCTCGGTCCAACTCTCCCGGCTCAAGTTTCCCTTTTGATGCCTGGTGGTTCCACATAAAGTGCCTGGTGGTTCCGACTTGTAAGCCAGGGCGGCCTGCCTCCCAGCTAGTTGGACATTTACTGTCTTCTGTGAATGTTTTCAAACTCACTTAATCTGCTATTGGAGGACAAGCCCTCTGGGTACTGTGTCCTCCTCCCACCCTGAGAGTTGTGGCCACCACCTCATACCCCGTGATCAGGGCCTGCATGCCGAGGGGAGGGTTGGAGACACTGGTCAGCCACAGCCCTCCATCTCCAGGAGGTGGCCACGCAGCATGAGGGCAGGCACTCCTCATTTTCTGATCAGGGGATGTCAGCTGGCTATTCCTCATCTCTCCGAGAACATTCTCTGTTCACGAAAGGTAAAATCACAAGACATCACCTTCATGTAAGAATAAAGTCCCTATAGGGAACACATCATTTGAATTCCTCAGGCATATGCCTTTTTGTTCTTTCTTTTTTTGGATTTCCATCCAGAAATAATTTATGCACATTCAAGCAAAAAATATACTCCGACTCCCCCTTTTGCACAAATGGCCACACACAATAAATACTGTTCTGCACCTGGAATTTTTTTTTTTTTCACTTAAACTATAGCATGAAGACTTTTCCCAGTAAGAAAGCCTTGTAGCAAACAAACGCTTGCATTCCCCAGACGGCCAATCTCCGTTGCTTGTTCTTACCCAAACCACCTCATCAGTCCTTTCCTGTTCCCCGATGGTCACCCAGGATTCTGAGTGCCACGGGAGAGCCTGGCTCACTGCTCACTGGCTCACTGTTTGGGAGCAGCAGTACTGTCTGTCTATTGCTGATCTGGGTTGCTTGTGTCAGCCAGCCGGCAATCCCAGGGACAACTCCCCATGTCAGGGAGAAGGAAAAACAGATATCCTTGGACTTGTGAGCTCCGGGAGCCTCCTGGAGGCCATCTCTCAAAACACGCAGCCAGCAGGTTTGTGCTTTGCCGGACCCTATAAGGGTCCTGTCTCTGGGCCACCGGTGCCGTGTGGGAATCTCCGACTGGCAACCAAGCCCACCGTGCCGCCAACCTACCAGCCTCATCTCAGAGGTGTCAATCAATGAAAGCAAAAGCACAACACGGACCAGGGCTGAAGAAGGCACAGCCACCCACACAGGAAAAGAAGACCCAGTGCTCACTGTGGTCTCTCCTACCTTCGATCGTTTCTCCTCCTCCGGAACAGCTTCTTGGTGTGTGCGATCTCCACTTCATGGGGCATCGGGTGGTAGCCCTGTGACACCGGGAAAGAGGGATTGTGAATAACTTCTGCAGGAGAGCAGAGAACTGACCATACAAGTATCCAGGACAGGAGGGCAGGAGCAGCTAACTGTGACCACCAAATCCAACAGAGAATGGAAAATGCTAGAATTTAATGAATTCCCCACCAGGTGAGGAGGCTAGAATCGCAGACTCAAGGAACGGCGGGGACCAAGGGAACCTTAGAATTCATCCTATCCAAGCCCACAATCGTAGGCGAGGGTGCCGGGTCCAGAGCGCTGAGGGAGCTGTTCAGTCTTGCAGAGAGCAGGCCGGGCCATGGAGCCAGGGCTGCGGCTGCCCGCAAACCTTCCTTGGTTGGGAACTGAGCACTGGAAGGCAGGCCGGTGGGACCCTCCTGGTGATGCCCCAATCCAGAGGTCTGTTTTTGTGTCCCCTTAGACCAGGGATGCTTCACTGGCTGTAGGATGGGACAAGATCCTTCTCCAATCTCCCAGTTTCTAACAAAGTGGAAATGATACTTCTTTCTACTCGGCACTGCTGAGAGGACCAGGAGCTAAAGTCTGTTAACCCTGAGCTTCAAGCAGGGGAAGAGCATCTCCTGATCCTAGGCCAGACTGCCCTGTGCGATTTTACCCCAGATCCTCTCCTTATATGGCCTGGGAAGTATTTAGAGAAAACCTGCAAATAGTTAAATGCTTTTTTAAACTTTGAAGGAGGGACTGGGGAAGATTCTAAGGAATTTTTTTTTTTTTTTTGTAAAATGCCCTCATGCCAACTATTTATACATTGACATCAAGGTTGGGAAGATCGACTTATAATGCAGGGTTGATTCTGCCAAATGCCAGGCCTGGGCAGAAGTACTTGCAAAATCTGGGATGATGGCCAGTTCTGTTCTCACCACCTTCCCGCCACCTCCACCTGCAATGGGAAAATGTGCCCCAGCAGGGACATGACAGCACGCCACCCCACTGTGAGCATCCCAGGACAGAACAGGGATACCTGGCCTGGGGGTCTTGGAGGGCCGTCTGACGTGGGCATCGGAGACCTGAGAACATGTCATTCCCTGACATGGAATCTACCACTTGGGCACACACAGCAATGGAAAGCCAGAGGCCGGTCTGCTGGAGGATGGTGAGTGGGTATCCCGTTTGACCCCAACTCTCACTTTTCAGGCAGGGAGACCAAAGCCCAGGGGGAGGTCATGCGGAGAATGAGAGATGGCAGTTCTGTGGCTGCAGCCCTGACCCCCTGGGGAGCACACAGACCTCTGGATTGGGGCTCCACGGAGAAGGTCCCACTAGTCTGTCTTCACAGGGCTCAGCCCCCACCAGGGGGAGAGATGGGGAGCACTGGCAGCTCTGAGTATGCTGGGACTGGCCAGTCTAGGAGAGCTCTCCAGAAGGGTAATGGGAGACAACTGGTCAGGGACTGTGGACACAGGGACTGTGGACACAGGGACTGTGGCATGACGGCCACTTGGCTCAGTCACCTATTGAGACCAGGGAGGGAAAGACATGTTTCAAACTGTATTCAGTGATGGCCCTTCCCGACCCAGCCTATGTCTCTTGCCTCCAACAATCGAGCCAAAAAGGCATGAATGAATTCCCAACTCCAGGCTGCCACCATAGGGCTCTGGGGACTTAGGATGTGCTTTGTTTAATGGTTTTCTCAAAGGATATTGTTTGTTTTCTTTAATACAAAATACAAACAAGGAAAAACACCAAATCTTCCCCTCTCACTTCCCCTCTCCCACCCTGAGCAAGCTCCAGCCGGACCCTTCCCTCCCTCCCTCCCTCCCTCCCTCCCTCACAGCCTCTCCAGGTCACTTCAGGAACACACTGGGTGTGCCCCAAGTAGACAATGGACAGGAAGCCGAGGCTCCCTCCCGAGCTGGCGGCAGACTGAGATCTCAGCTCTGAGGCTGGACAGACGGAGCTGCCCATGGCACTTGGCATAATAGGGGTCAGGAGGTGCCAGCCTCCTCAGCAGGGCCTCAGAGTCTTGGGCTCTGACCCACATCCTGGCTCCGCCCCCCACACCGAGGGCAGCCATGGGGAGCTGGACACACCGCAGCACGGATCCTAACTCTTCCCCAGGACTCAGGGGAGATCATCCAGGCAGGATGAGAAGCGCCCCTCACTCCCTCAATCTCAAGGAAACAGCTGCCCTAAAACGTGACCAGTAAGACAGGGCCGGCCAGAGTGGCCTGTCCTAGACAAGGGCACCGACGACAGGAACAGGAATGGGAAAGGAGCTCCTGATGGCCTGGCCAGGGACAGCGGGGTCCTGGCTTTAGACCAGAGATCCCCCCTGTTTTCAGTCAGGGTGCATCCCTCCAGGGGACAGCATGACACTGACCAGGCTTGTCAGGACAACTTTAAGAGTCCAGTGGCCTTGGCTCTAGTTCTTTGCTGAACAAATCTGTCCACTTCCTGCTCTCAAAGAGCCGAGGTGGACCTCAGTCCAGGTAGGAGCGCTCCCCTCCATGAGAGTGAGAACCAGCCCTCAGGTCTACCAGCTGGTCAGCCTGCAATAGGCATGCCTCTGCCACCACCTGGGCAGCCACCAGGCCCTGCCTGCACGTCCCCAGCTTCCCTACAGGTCTCAGGGCACATTCTCCTCGGGCCCTGAGACCTAACTGCAGATCCTCTGTCTGACCTCTGACCTCTTTCTATAACCAAGTGGGCCTGGGAGATAAGCGGGTTACATGAACATGAAGAGGAGGCTCCTTCCTCGTGCCCTATTGGTACAGCACTCGTGAAACACATGCACACATGTGTGTGCACACACGCACACACACACACACATGCTTCCGCACCACAGGGCAGTGCAGGCAGTGCCGAGGGGCAACACGTTACTGAACAGGTTGCAAAAACATGTTATGTAAAATCGGCCTATTCTGGGGCAGGCTGAGGCTGCAATCTCACAACCTGGCGCAGTGGGTATTTCCGAGGGATTAAGGGCAGGCCCAGCAGAGCTCTGGCTGCAGAGCTTCAGCCCCAGATGGTTAATGAGCCAGGCTGGGACAGCTAGGGTCTTTCCCTGAGGTGACAACTATAGAGAACAAAACTTGGGTCTACAGGTGTGGGCGGGGAGAGAAAAGGGGAGGCAGACACCCCTAGCAGAGAGCAGCAGTGATGCTGGTGGCTGCCACCATCATGGGAGTGTCAAACCTCCACAGCCACAGACTTCCACACACCACCCACCTAAGGCACCTGTCCATCCATCCTGAGAGCCACGACCTCTCCATTCATCTCCCCACTCCATAAATACTGTGGACCTGGCACTGGGGGAAATGGGCAAAGTGTCGGTTCTCACACAGCACAGGTGCTGGGGAGAGAGAGAGGCGAGACACCACGTTTCCCCATGGAGCAAACCAAGGCAGGGCAGGGGGATGGAAGAAGTGGGGGGGATGGGGTGGGCGGCCAGGAAGCCCTCCCTGTCCAGGGAACAGTTCACATCTGGCCACCTATCCACCCACCCAACCCAGCACCCTTGGTTGTTCTTCCCTCACTGAACACTGGGGGCCGACTGTGTGCTTGTGGACCAGATGGAGAAGACCAGGATGAGTAAGACCCAGTCCCGGTTCTGAGGGACTCCAGGGAACACACACGCTGAAGCCTGCCATGCTTATAGACGAGGCTGAAGAGCCCAGAGGAAGGGCCCAGGGCTTCTCTCTAGGAGAAGGTTGGGGAAGATGTCATCAAGGGTGTGATACCTGAGCTGAGCCCTAAGGCACGCCACACGGGCTCCAGATGCTGCAAGTTGAAAACCCGCTGCAGTCACGGCCAGTGTGGGGGGTGCCTGGCCCTGCCCGAGAGGGGAGGCACCTGGCACCCCAGGGACCAGTGCTGGGACTCCTCTCCACTGCGCCTGGCTTGGGGCCATATACATCATCCTTTTCACCCCGGGCACTAGGTAGAATTCGGTCCCCCAGGAGATTTATTGGAGTCCTAATCCTGGGTACCTGTAAGTGTGACCTTATTTGGGAATCGGGTCTTTGAAGAGGGAATCAGGTTAACAGGAGGGATTAAGTTGGGCCCAACATCCAGTAACTTTACAGAAGAAGGAAATCTGGGCACAGAGAATCGGCAGCCGCAGAGGGAGAAGGCCAAGGGAGACGGAGACACGGACCGCAGCGCTGCAGCTGCCGGCCAAGGGGCACTGAGGACCACTGGAGCCCAGGGACACTGGGAGGAGGCAAGGAAGGCTTCTCCCCGGGAGCTGCTGGTACCTGGATGGGTGGCTCCAGTCTCAGAACCGTGAGACCACAGCCCCCCCTCCCCCGCATGGCTTTAAGCCACAGGATTTGAGGTCACTTGCTCTGACAGCCCTAGGAAGCTCATGTCCCCCCTGCCCTCCCGTCCACAGGCTACACTGCAATCCTCAGCATAGGGCCCTGGCCCTGGGTCTGCCCGAAGCCTCCCCCACCTCCATCTGCTCCCTCAACATCCCCAGCTGTCTCCTCCTGGGTGGTCCTGTGGGACCCTGTGTGGCACATGGGGTTGCCCCAAGTCAGACAGTCCTCAGTGAGTAGGAGCGGCCGGCCCCACCCATGCCCTACTGCAGGATCCTGAGGCACCTCTGCAGGGGTGCCAGGCTCCCAGGGACTTGCAGTCTGATGGGGAGTCTTTTGGCCCCCCGTCAAGTCAACAGCTCACCCGGCTGCCCAGGTCTCTAGCCTCACAGTGCTTCTAAGAAGAAGGACTGGAGCCTCTAGAGAGTAGGCGGGGATCAAAATGGACCCCTCACTGTGGAAGATACTGCTGACCCAGCCCCACGCTTCAGCACCCAGCTCCAGAAGGCTTCCTGGCACATAGTAGGTGATAACTAAATATTTGTTGGATAAAAAAGAAAGGAAAATGGGGAAGAAGGAAACAAGAGCCTCATTTTGGTCCAAGCTGCTCTGCTGAACCAGGGCTCTATTGAGGCATCAGCACGTGTGGTGCTGCCTGGCGGTGGCAGCCACAGAGGGAGCTCCTGGGTCTCAGCTGGGGCCACTCCCCCATT